TACGCGTTAATGAATTACTTTAATTTGTTCTGTTGGATTTAAATATATTAGGCTATTCAAAACATTGCAATGTGTTAAAAATTAAAGATAGGTGCACCTCCCAGCTGGGCACAGACCTCTGATTTTTGAGACGATTTTAGTGCAAGGAAATAATAATAGTACAGTAAAAATAGACGTTTTTTGGTCAACTTTGCACTAAATTTCCGATCCAATTTTTTTTAATAAGGTTTAGGATCACTTATTCAGCATAAAATCACAAAATGCTCACAGATTCAGGTGGCGCTTCAAGCGCCATTTTGAAAAAACGTTTTCAGCCGATATCTCGGAAACTATATACTTTAAGGCAAAAGTTATATAAACCATTATTGTAGAGAATAAAATTTCGCATCTTTTGTTTCCAGTAAACTTTTTTGTAAAACTTACCGTTTACGATTTATGGCCCATTTAATGAACCGGTTTTTCTATCGCGGCCAATAACTCTTGCAATATTAGATTAATCAATAAAATGTATTAATTTATTTTTAGAGATCAGTTTATTCTCTACAACTTTTGTTTTAAAGTTTTTTTTTCTAATGTCCATGTTTTTTGAGTTATAGTACGTTTAATGTGAAAAATGCCGACGCTCAGCGGGTGACGCATCATATATTTTTAAATTTATTTGTTGAATTTGTACCGTTATATTCCATGCGTATCTTGAAATTTTCAACTTTACGCCCGGTAGTCCACAACCGTCAGCATCTTCCATCCTGAGTAGTACAAAACAAATTAAAAAAAAATAGTTTCGCCACACAAATATCTGCTGCGTAGCCCGAATGTTGCGTGTTGGCGGACTTCACGTCTTTGAAATATTTTTTAATTTGTCAGATTTCCTCACGATGTTTTTCTTCACAGGGAAGCAAGTCGTAAATCAGCATTTAAAATTTTAATTAACTATTTCACTAACCCGGATCTTAGCTAATTAATTCTTAACATCTTTAATCATGGATAAAATACGGAACCGAGACGTGGTCCTTCACTGCTGGCCGTATGAGGACCATCAAAGTCGCTCAGCGAGCTCTGGAAATTGCTATGCTCGGAGTTTCTCTGCGTGATCTTAGAAATGAGGATATCCGCAGTAGAACCAGAGTGACCGACATAGCCCAACGGATTAGTAAGCTGAAGTGGCAATGGGCCGGCCATATAGCTCGAAGAACCGACAACCGTTGGGGAAAAAAGGTTCTCGAGTGGCAGCCTCATACCGGCGAGGTGTACGGCGAGGTGTACGGCGACCCCCACCAGATGGAGTGACGACCTGGTAAGACATGCAGGAAGTCGATGGATGCAAGTGGCTCAGGACCGTGCTTTGTGGCATTCCTTGGGGGAGGCCTATGTTCAGCAGTGGACTTGTGAAGGGCTGTAATGATGATAATGATCTTTAATCATCATCTTTACTTTTTACGTGGTAGAACCACGCTGCTATATTATACTTGTAGCACGAATGGGTTGGCTCGAACGTGGCAGGACCACGCTCTTACAGAATACCAACGTAAAATAGCAACGTAATGCTGCGTGTTTCCTATGGTGAGTGTAGAGATCCGGAGACCCTTTTTACTGCAAACGAGGCATTCCATCTTAGTCCTCAGGGGTGACAAAGCCTTTTGCATTTTGATTATTAATTGAGAATAAATGCAGATGCCTACGGGCCACAGCATCCACTTACCATCAGGGGCTGTGTGCTCGTTTGTCACTCAATCACAGAATAAATAATAGACCCAAGCTTTTATTTATAAAAATAAATAAAAGCTTACATAAAAATATAACAGTACTCGCTAAAGAGTCATTTTATTTTACACAGCAATACAGCAATGGAAAGAAGTTGTAAAAAATAAGCTATCGACGCTGCGTGCTACGAACTGGTGCAGTTAGTGTAAGGAAGTCCGACTATCGATTCAGTGGTAACGGATACTAAACTTTACGTCATACGTGGTAGAGCTATGTTGAATTATAAAAAGAAGCATATTTAGCGAAACGTAAAAAAAGATACAAATAAATTAATAAATAGCAGAAAATTTCCTCTCTGTCTCGTTTTGAAAGTTCTTTCAAAACTCCTGTTTTGAAATCGATTGAAAAACGTAAACGCCAAATATTTGACGTAAGGTAATGAAATTCAAAATACTATGACCACTAATCAGGCTATTTATCTGCCTACTACGTATTACTTCAATGTTAGCAATGTACCTGTCAAACGTGGCGGACATGGTAATTTCTGCCTACTTTGAATTTGGATACGTTCATGCTTATTTTAAAGGTATATAGTAGAGATGGCCCGAATATGGATTTCACCGAATAAGAATATTCGGCCGAAAGTTCGGTAAAACTTTTACATTACTCTAACCAATTGAACATTATTCTAATTTATGTCGAAACTTGTTACCGTAAAGCGCGCGGGATTAGCGCCGGACCCTGCTCTTCGCTCCCCCGCCACATCTGACATTTTATTTCATCTAGTACTGAGCAAATTGCCGGCACATGCTTATGTTTTGACTATTTTTGTGAAAAAAAAAATATTTCGTTGTGTTATTGTTAGTGAAAATTGATAATTATATTATGATAAAAATAAGTGACAGAAGGTCCACCGCTAGGAATTATTTTAGAGAAACTGTTGAACAAAGTAAAGTGAAATGTACTAATGTAATGTAATGTAATGTTTCTTTGTTTGATTCCAAAAATATTTTATAAAGCTTTCTATTTGCTATAATTAGAAATAAATCTACAGTGCCTTAAAAATAACGCTATAGAAGTAAATTTAACACATATATAAAATATACTTTCAACAGTAAAATTATGAAAGGCTTGGCATTACTCAATTCTTACATTTCAATACAGTGGACACTTTCAGTACCACTGTAACGAATGTTCGGTGATTTAGCCGAATATTCTGCCGAATATTAATATTCGGTAAAGCTGCCGAATATGCCGAATACCGAATATGAAATATTCGGCCCATCTCTAGTATATAGTCGTTGAAGTAGGTTTTTAACTTCCCGCTAAGAAAATTGAAAATTTTCAAAAACGGAAAAGTAATTGTTTTACCCCGTTTTTCGAAAATCTTGACGTTTTGAGGTCACAGGAAGCCACCCTGACAATTTTTCGATGGTGTCTGTATGTATGTATGTGTGTGTGTGTGTGGATGTATGTAAACCTCTTATAACTTTTGAACGGCTTGACCGATTGAAATGATCTAAGCGAATTTCCAAAGTGTTTCATCAAACTTAGATTTCCTATGAATTTTAACTAATTCGGATTCCGGCAGATTTTGAGAAAACTCAAAAAAAAAAACTTTTTTTTTTGAATAACTTTTACACGGCTTTACCGTTCATATTCCAAAAAGTAATTAGCTTTTAACCTTGAAAACCCACTTTGATCGCTGCCGGTCCCGTCAAAATCGGTTTATTCGTTCGTGAGATATCGTAAACGAAAAATTTGAAAAAAATTGATTTTTTTAAATTACCCCGATATTTCATATTCAACGTCATATTTTGGTGAAATTTTGAGCGCTTTGCATTTGAAATTAGCGGGAAGTTTCAGCGATGGCCTGCAGGGTCAACCAATTTTTCTTAAATTGAAGAAATGAACGAACATACAGTCCACTTGATGATAAAAGCTGCAGCAGTCCATGGACACCTGCAGCAAATTTCATACATAGAATGCTATAGATGCGTTGTCACCCCTGAGGATTTAGATGAAATATCTCACAGCCTGTAACTAATCGCTCTCTAAACCCTTCACACCGAATCACAGCAGACCCAGAATTGATATTTGGTAGCGGAAATAGGTGGTATGACAGTTAAAATAGCAGCCGGCTGTCTTCTATAGTGATTTCTCATCCTCAAGGGTGGCAGACCCAGACCGACTCGTATGTGCGTGACATATTTTGCACACATTCATATTTCATACAATAACATAAAAATAAAAGTAGTAAAATATATAATAAGCAATTACTTTTTTACCTATTCTTTTTTGCCTAGGGTCTCCGGTTCTCAACACTCACCATACGAAGCACAGCAGCCTTGAGCTGCTATTTTAACTGTCTTACCTGTTTCTGACCAAAATGCAGTCTGGATGACATTATTATTTTCACGACTTATGTTAATTTGTACTGGTAACGAGACTGCTAATGTAACGAAGTGGTATAGCATTTGGCTGCAGCCTTGTAGGCTGTATTTAACTCCCTCACGGACCAAGTAACTGTTACTTGCCTGGTCTTTACTGATTTTTCCGGGTTTGTATGTTTCTCCACGTGCTGTTTTATAGAATATAAAATGACAAACAAGCATACAGTCCACCGAATGGTTAGTAGATGCTGTGACCCATAGACATATATATCCTAATTTACGAATCAAAATGCAGATTTGTGTCGCTCCTGAAGACTAAAGTGGAACGCCTCCTTATTAATAATAAGGATCACCAGTTCTCATCAATCATCATACGAAATGCAGCAATGTAAGATCGTGGTTCCACTCGGGTCTAGACTACCTATTCGTGTCTTGTAGCATGACTGCGTCGCATAATTTTTTTAACTATGACTATTTATTAATAAAAAGGATCACCAGTTCTCATCAATCATCATACGAAATGCAGCAATGTAAGATCGTGGTTCCACTCCGGTCTAGACTACCTATTCGTGTCTTGTAGCATGACTGCGTCGCGTAATTTTTTTAACTATGACTATTTATTAATAAAGAGGATCACCAGTTCTCATCAATCATCATACGAAATGCAGCAATGTAAGATCGTGGTTCCACTCGGGTCTAGACTACCTATTCGTGTCTTGTAGCATGACTGCGTCGCATAATTTTTTTAACTATGACTATTTATATAATTTAAACTCTTCTACGATATTAAAAAATTGCCCAGAGTTAGCGACTTTTAATAATAAAATATGAAAAACAAAAATCAATCAAAGAGTAATCACTATGTGTGTAAATGTATATTATAAAAATTGTTAAGTATTGTTACAGATCAATATACCCTGGATAGTGAGTACATCAAGCGATACCTGGGTGAGCTGACACCGATGCAGGAGTCGCGGCTGCTGCAGCTTCGGAAGTGGATTGCAGATCTACAAAAAGGAAAAGTAAGGAACTTATAAGTAACTAGGAAACCCGGCAGACGTTTTCCTGCTCTGAAAAAATCAACCTAAAACCTGATTGCAGCGCCATCTACTGGGTGCAGTTGTGAAGCTAAACCATCCAGGGACTTACTCAAACACACACACACAATAATATTCTTCTAAATCGGCCCGCTGTTTAGGGGAAGTTCAGTGAGAAACACACGCACAAAAGAATTATATTTAAAGATAGTATAGGTAATATTTCTCTTTCTTGATTCGTAGAAATACTCGTCAGGATTCAGGAATGGCCATATTTAACATATTTTTACTCTTATTTTTCCCTTACCCCTTGGAAAACTTGACCAACCGAATCGAACCAAATAGTTCGCTAAGTTGTTTATAATGTGTGTGTGTACAGCAATGGAGTTGAATAATTCACCAGCGTTTGCCTTACCATCCAATTACACTCCCACAATTTTATTATCTTCAAGGCCAATTTGCGTGACTATCTTCGACGAGAGTGAAAACAACGGTTCCCATGATTAAATCAGTCTTTAAATGACGTGATGGTAAGTGGATGCTTTGACCCTTAGATATCTACATCTATGTCCAGGCATTCCATCTTAGTCCTCAGGAGTGACAACGCATTTGCGTTTTGATTCTTAATCGAGGATAAATGTATATGTCTATAAGCCACAGCATCCACTTACCATCAGGTGTAACGTGTGCTTGTTTGTCCCATACACTATAAAAAACACACTATTACAAATTACAAAATACTTTTTACCAACCTTGATTTTTCTATTATATTATTTACAATTCAATTCAAAATTATTTACAATCCTCAACAGCTGCAAGCAAAAGCAATTTATATCTACCAGTATTTCTTTCTTGTGTTTGTAATAATTACAAACCGAGAGGCGGTATTTATTCGTTCTTACATTACTTTTATTTCTGAACCACTCGAGCTCAAGCCCGTTTAACAACTATCTATGAAAAGAACAAATGAAACTATTGTTGTTCTGATGTAATATTTCATTTGGTAGATCAAACATTTTCATAGTTGTATTGAAATAAATGTATCGCACATAATACGCCGCATGCTCGTTTGACTTTTTACAATAAAAAAACTTTTTTTCGTCGTCAGGGGACATCCGGCAGATGTGATTTTTTAATTAATGAAAATTTATAATTAATGAAAATCAATATGAGAATATGGAGTAAAATAATGAAAGGAAACTGTAGTCATATATAAACGCACACGCTATACGCATTTCACATAGAGAAGCCACGAAGTGTATAAGTATATATGCGCCCGTGAAGAGGTGGTGTACGAATAGCCACTTTTCCACATTGCCGGTGGTTGTTTTAAAGGCGACAGAGGGAAACATAGTAGTAATTTGGCTACAGCGTCTTCCTATAAACTCAAAATAATAAAAAAATTAAAAAAAAAGGTTGCCGACCCCCCCCCCCCCCCCCTCCTATAAGGCAATCTATGTTGCAAGCTTATGTTCTGCAGTAGACTTTAATAGGCTGTAATGGATGGATGGAGGCAAGTATCGAACCCGGGACGCTCGCTTACTGTAAAATTTACAGCTAGCGCTTAGTCCCAGAGCTACCGCTGTTTATGGAAGTAAAAATAATGTCCTCTAGGCTGAATTTCGTTCACGGCGTCCAGCCTCAACGGAGACTATCCATCTGCGCAGGACAGGATTATATTGCCCAAGTGTATGCGCAAGCATAGCTGCACTCTCTATCCCTTAATTCTCATAATCCAATGGGACGGTTATCCGACACGACCGGAGAGAGATCAAGCGCTTGATCAACGGCTTTACGTGCTTTCCTGACAGGGGGGTGAAAAACCGCCAAATTCTCGTCTCCGACTGCTGCTGAGTGTTTCTTGACAGAAAACCCAATAACTGCCATTGAGAACCCTATAATTCGAACCCGCAACCTCATGATCAGCAAACGCGGATCAGCATCGATGTATCGAACCCACCAAAAAAAAAAAAACATAAAAATGTGGCGGGTCAAGTTCGTACGAACCATTCGGGTTGTCGGGTACACCATTAAAAGAGCTTGTATCTGAGCGGATACCAAGTTCTATAGCGTTTCCAAGAACATTGTACATTACTATAGACTCTATGATTTACGCAAATTTGTTTAGATCTGACTATATGGTTTCTAGGTATTCAAGGGGTCCTAATTGGGTATGCAGAATTACAAGTGAGATGGTCGAATAGTTTTTGAGTTATGGGGTCCTGTAAATTGGCTCGAAATGTTATTTTATATATACATAAAATAGGATGGGTCGACATTTTCTTTTCTGAACTTCAACACTGCCGAGTGTGGTTAACACACGTCCTTTATTTTAAAGGACGTCCTAGAGGACTTAAATTTCACTCCTAAAAATTGATCTTTTCCTCTAATTTCAAATCTTAAATTGAAGACAAGGCAATATTCGTATTTGTCAGGCGTGTTCAAAATTCCCTGTGTTAGTTGAGTTTTTTTTTTAAAGAATAAGGGTGACAAACGAGCACACAGTCCACCTGATGTTAAGTGGTTGCTGACCCATAGACATCTACATGTATCCTCGATTACGAATCAAAATGTATGACTAAGGTGGAATGCCTCGTTTCAGTAAAAACGGTCTCCGGTTCTCTACACTCACCATACGAAACACAGCAGCTTTAAGCTGCTGTTTCACGCTGGTATTCTGTGAGAGCGTGGTCCTACCCCGATCAATTAGCGTGGTTCTACCAAATTATAATCATACATGATGAAAGTTTGTGAAAACTACTTACGAAACTTTAACATTGACCTCCGTAGCTGGTCTTTAATATTCACATGGCATGTTCAACATAAATGTGATGGGATTTTGCTAGACTTTCTCATAGTTGCCTCTAACCTCTAGAAGCCTTTAACAATACAGAAATTGAGTGATGTTTTGTCTTACAATGCCATCACATAACATAGTTTTGTTCTAACTTATTTTATTAAGATTCGAAACTGTTTTCGGCAAGTTACATTTCAACCTTAACCTATTTTTGTAACTGTTTTATGCTCTCCAATTTATAGACATTCACGGCTAACATAGCCAGTACTTCGTAATAAAATTTAACGTATTATTAAATTAATGTTATCCTCATATAACACATTTTCGTAAGAACAACATTGTTTTCCATTCGATTATAATGGTGTCTTCAAGGTAAAAATGAATAGGCTTTTGTTATGATGATTCAGTGCGTTTTACCATCGTCGACTGCATATATAATCAAGCAATGTATTATGATAATTAGAAAAACAATGTTACAAAATTGGACAACTAATGTTACAAAATAAAGTTATAAGAATTTAATAACAACCCGATGAGTAATTATAAATAATGTAAGAGTTTAAAAAAATACTTAACACGCATTTACCATGCATGATCCTGACAATTATCTTATTTTATCCTGGTCATCCTGATCAGGATACAGGGATAAAGTTATTAAATAACTGTATAGTCAATAGTCATCTGTACTTGATACGAGTTGAAAACGAAAGTATCAAGTCAGTCGGACGGGCCAAATTCGGCGGGGCCAAACGAAGCGGCCAAAGCATTTCGGGTCTATAAGTTGGTGAAAATTACATTTTTTTTATAGGATAGGGTAAAACACAACAGTCCACCTGATGGTAAGTGGTTGCTGTGGCTCATAAACATCTACATGTATCCTCGATTACGAATCAAAATGCAGATGCGTTGTCACCCGTGAGGACTAAGATAGAATGCCTCGTTTCCAGTAAAAAGGGTCTCCGGTTCTCTACACTCACCATACGAAACACAGCAGCATTAAGCTAACTATATTACTCTGGTATTCAGTGAGAGCGTGGTCCTTCCCCGGTCAAGCCGACCCATTCGTGATACAACTATACTACTAATATAACTGCAGCATGGCTCTACCACATATAGAAACATTAAAAGATTCCGCGACATAGATAGATAGATACACGCAAAGCGAATAAAATTGTGTTAAATACGAAATTGTAGGTTAGATAAAGAATCCGGACACTTTGAATTTACTCCGGCGAGAGAAAACTTATACGGAAGAGGGATTTCAGAAACTTAGATAACTAGATTTCTGTCCCGAGATGATCTCCCTTTGTATATCCATTTACGGACGTGTCATAAATCGTGAAGAACTTATGTCCGTTTGTGAGATGTGTGGCGATAGAGAGATGTCGGGGAGCTTGTTCATATATTTCAAATAAATCTGTATACAGTGTGAAATGAGTTGTAAATGTGATTATGGCAAATTCTCTCTACTGAGAGATACATAATATCAGATACAGATTACTTTTTATTGGTAACGAGGCATTCTATCTTAGTCCTCAGTCACAACGCATCTGAATTTGTATTTTTAATTGAGGAGTACATAAATCACTAAAAATGTTTCTATCTATGTCGGTCATTAGTCATTGATGTCGGTTATAAACTTTGAATTTGAAACCATCCAACCGATGTGCCCCAAAGCGGTTTCATTAGAAAGGCAATAATGCGCAGAAAACTAAAACAATGCGTTGGGCACTATATAAGTTATTAAATAAACAAAATTTCCTTTTTGTCCAAAAAATAAACAAAATGTTTATTTTTTTATTTAGCGTAGTAGCACATACCCCTTTTCTAAAAAAAATCCGCTAGTTGAGGATAAGGATGTTTAAGAAACACAGCATCCACTTACCATCATGTGGACTGTGTGCTCTTTTATCATGATTCTTCTATATAAAAAAAAAACTTTTACATTATCTTTATCACAGTTCGTCAATCAATAGAGTTAAAGATGGTAGCCGGGATTTACGAAAACGAAGGACGGGCAAGCCCGCCGGGCTCCGATTCGTACGTCCTTGTGAGGGCTTATTGTATTTAATAATCCAATTACTCTCTAAGTCTAAGCTGTTTTATAATGTTATCGAATCAAATTACCCCATTTTGACACTAACTTAATATAATGTTTTAAATGCGCGACAGTGTGCTTAATTTTTTTTTATTAAGAGGTTACTACTGCTCACATCTGGTACCTCTATAACTAACTTTCAACAAATAAAGTTGCAGATGTTTTGTTTGTTTTTAATTTATTATTAACTGGCTTTACGGCTCTGGTTTCTTGACCTTCTGAGCCTATCCTTTCTTTTGGAATCTTCATTTTATGTTCTTTTTATTCACAATATGCTGATGCGTCACATTGCGAAGCCCTTGGGAGATTTTGACGACAGCTCAACCTAGCGGACAGTTGATGACGACAGCCACTCAAGTTCATAAGGCGCCCAAGCGATCAAAATAACTTGAGGTTTATATCGACATCAAAGCACTTGTTTCGTCGTTTTCTCTAATAGTTCACTTTTACGAATGAAAATCCACTTCAAACCATTATTCAAGCGACAAAACAGGAGCGATAACCAGACGGGTTATCGGCCAAGTTCCCGCCAAAACTCCGTTTGTTTTTAAAATTCTTTACAAACTACGAGTGCACTACTACATGTTTACAGAAATACATATGACAGTGACAGGCCGCAAAGAATGTTTAGTGGAAAAAGATTTTTTTTTTATATTAAACACTGGCCAGTTATAGTTTATTTTGGAAATGTGTTTATACCATAGTCTTAGGATGTGCCAGTATATTCTAAGTCTATGGTTTATACCGTGGAACTTTTTTTATTAAATAAAATCACCCAAAAACGATACAGTTGTAATCGCCGGCAGGAGGCTAACCAGGCTGGAGCCTAGCGCGCAAGGTTCGTGGGAGCGCTGAGCTTGCCTTTGAAAGCACATTTATGTACAGAGTAAAATTTAATGTAATATTATTAATAAATAATAGAGTATGTGCCGCAAATATTTTACTTATTTCTCGGTTCATAGTTTTAATACCGTATACATGCATACGGTACAAATTACTAAACATAATACGAAAGCGTTCTAATAATATCTAACTTTTGTCGTAGTTACAACTAGAATAATTGTGGTACACGTTTGTGACCCCTTACTCATGCATTGGTATCAGGTACCTAGCGACACCACCCTGCTGCGTTTCCTCCGCGCGCGTGACTTCAACGTGGAGAAGGCGAGGGAGATGCTTTCCCAGTCTCTTCTGTGGCGCAAGAAGCACCAAGTGGACCGCTTGCTCTCCGAGTACGAAACACCCGAGGTTGTGAAACAGTACTTCCCTGGTGGCTGGCATCATCACGATAAGGGTAAAGCCAGAAACAATGTTTATTTATTCTTATAATCGTAATACATCACTCTTGTCGTGCAAGAGTAAAGTAAAGTAAAGTTACAGCCTATATACGTCCCACTGCTGGGCACAGGCCTTCTCTCATTTCTGAGAGGGTTTTAGGGCAAGGAAGTGTCCGCCGCGCTGCCCCAATGCGTGTTGGCGAACTTCACATGTCCTCGAAATATTTTATTTTTATTTCTCAGACATGAAGGTTTCCTCGCGATGTTTTCCTTCATCGCCGAGCACGTGGTAAATTAGCACTAAAAATTGTAATTAACAATTTCATTGGTGCCGGTGGGGATCGAACCCGGGTTGCTCGCATACTGTGAAATTTACAGCGAGCGCTAACCATCTGAGCTACCACGGCTCATGCAAAGGTTAAAATCAATTTTTTATATAGAACTGGCGATCCACCCCGGCTTCGGACGGGTAATTTCTGAATCTCGACAACGGCGCCACCTACCGGGTCCAATTAATTTTTCAACCATCCAGGGACCACACAAATGTCTACACTTTCGAGTTTTAGTGCGACTCACGGACAGCAACTGATTTTTATATATAAAAAGTTAAGAAGATAAGGGTGTCAAACGATGAACCAACTCCTGATGGTAAGAGGATGCTGTAGCCCATAGATATCCTCATCTATCCACTATTAGATATCAAAATGCAGATGCGTTGTTACCCCCGAGGACAAATATGGAATACCTCGTCTCCAGTAAAAAAGGGTCTTCGGATCTCTACATTCATCACACGAAACACAGCAGTATTAAGCTGCTATTTTACGCTGGTATTCTGTAAGAGCGTGGTCCTTCCCCGGTCGCGCCGACTCGTGTCATAACTATAACATAGCTGCGGCGTGGCTCTACCACGTATAAACTTAACGTCTGCATTTATGTAAACGTCTTTTTAACTATACCAAATATCAATAATATCTGGCCCTTTATACTTTTTCCTCGTATAAATAATTTTATTCCAAATGATAAAGAAACTTACATAATAATTTGGGATAGTATGTCGTATTCCACGTGTATTTCTTCCTGACAGATGGTCGTCCGCTCTACATCCTGCGACTGGGTCACATGGACGTCAAGGGCTTGCTTAAGTCGATTGGAGAGGATGGACTCTTAAAGTTGGTGAGTTTCACTTGCAAGGTGGTATATTATTTGTTTGTTCATTATAAGACTATGGAAATATCGGTTCTACCTAAATAAATAAAAAGTTTACTGCTGTTAAAAATTGAATTCCATTTACGTTTAATACCGTTCCCGGCTTCACCAGGGCGAGTAGCTTAAATATAATACGATATGTTAGACTGTTTGAATCAATCATCAATGACCATTTATTTTATCGAATTTTCTATTTCACAAATAAAACTTTTATGGGCAAAATAAAGCGTAGATCACTTCTGGCATTGCTGTCCATATGTTCGTGAAGTTTCATCACAATCAATTTAGCCATTTCAGACAGAAAAACTTAATTAATTGCTATATAAAAGAGCTCGATAAAAGGCAGTTATTTTAAACATTACAAACAGAGATCAACTTTGTGTATATGAATAGATGTATGTTATATTACACGTAAATATATTATATATTTGATTGTAACAGTAAATTTCAAGCACATTTGGCTGTATCGTTGTAAAATCAGTTTATGTTCTAGACATTTTGTGATGTAAAATTTAAGTTGGCAAAGTTCCGCCCATTGCTCGCGTGCTTCAAATTGAAACTATTTTATGCTCTGTGGTTTACCCTTGTATAAAATTTTATGTTCGTTCATGACGAGAAATGTTAATTTCTGTGTTAATTAAAACAATTTTGTTTTCCCAAATTAAGAATTATTTGAATTGGTACAGATGTTTTTAATACTGAAAATATTTTTATTTAGCTTCATATGCTTCATTGATATACGAGTATTTATGTGATTTTTAATAAAAGTTTTGTTTAAAAGGATAAGGATGACAAATGATCATACAGGCCACCTTATGTTAAGTGGATGTTGTAGCTCATTGACATTACATCTATCCTCGATTAAGAATTAAAATGTACATACGTTGTAACCCCTACGGACTAAGATGGAATGCTTCGTTTCCAGTTCCTAAAACGAGTCTCCGGTTTTTAACACTCATCATACTAAAACACAGCAGTATCTTGGGTATTTCACACCAGCTAACGTTTTTTTTTTATAGGAGAAGGGTGACAAACGAGCACTTAGTTCACCTGATGGTAAGTGGTTGCTGTGGCCCACAGACATCTCCATCTACATCTATCCTCGATTACGAATTAAAATGCAAATGCGTTGTCACGCCTGAGGACTAAGATGGAATGCCTCGTTTCCAGTAAAAAGGGTATCTGCTTTTCTACACTCACCGTACGAAACACAGCAGCATTAAGCTGCTATTTTACGCTGGTATTCTGTGATAGAGTGGTCCTTCCCCGGTTCGTGTGCATCCATAATATAGCTACAGCATGACTACCACGAAGATCATTTTTTTTACGAATTATTTTACTTCATATACTTAGTCTGACAGTATACTATACTAACGGTACTGCCTCATGTATTAATTTTATTTTATATTGAATATCATTCCGATATAAATGATAATGAAGTTCTAAAAAAATTTATATTATACTTATTATATATTTGGAAATGTATTTGTATATATATTTAAGGTATTTGAAGCATAGCTAGACAAAAAAAAATTGAAACTTGATGGCTGCAATAGGTTTTTCAAGCATACATTTTTGTTTAGTTTATTATTATCATACTTATGTTACCTAAATAAGTCCATATTAACTCATTATGTACTCTTCTAGACACTTCACGTATGTGAAGAGGGCTTAAAACTCCTGGAGGAAGCGACTAGGTCATCGGAACACGCAGTTCAGGCTTGGAGCCTGCTCGTAGACCTGGACGGACTCAACATGCGACACCTCTGGCGTCCCGGAGTCAGGGCTTTACTTCGCATCATACAGGTTGTAGAAGCGAACTACCCAGAGACAATGGGCAGGGTACTCATCGTGAGAGCACCAAGAGTCTTTCCGATCCTATGGACGATCGTTAGCACGTTTATAGGTGAGAAAATTATTGATATAATTAATAAAAATATGGTTTTTATTCTCTTATATACATATTGGTGTACAGTAAAGTATATATTTCAGTCATTCATTTAATATTTAAATATAAAGTTTTATCTTAAGGAAAACTTGTTTGTTGTTTTTACATCTGATATATCATGATGGTGCCCGTGAAATTAACACGTACCAAAAATAAACTCCAAATAAACTAAAACAATTATTGATAATGTTTAATAGTTTGAAAATTTAACGAAGTGATTATTCTTGTATAATTGCACATTTTGAAATGAAACTTCTTTATCGACGTATTGGAGAAATTTAGTACGGTATTAAAGAAATAGTTTTCACACTTTCTTGTCACGTTTCACCGCTGATGCTGCATGAGCGTATTAAATCTAATGGGTGCGTTTGGCAGAAAAAAGCGCTAGCAAGCGCTTACAAGCGCTAAAATAGTTTACGGCCAGGACACGATTGCTACTTCAGTAGCGCTGACATAATCTGCCATTTTGCTTATTTAATTTGTTTGTTTTGAAGTAGAGTTTCAAAGTTGTTTTTGCAATATTAGTTTTAAGTAATATAATGACATGAATAAACATATAAATGTTATTAAAAATTCATGGTTGGTAAGTTTTTAATATGAATACTTTACAAACATATATTTAAATTAGGTTAGGTTCCCCGGTTAAAACTAACATCGTGTCCTAGAGGAAAATAGCTACTTACGATTTGACAGCACTTACCGCTTACGATCGCCATTTTGCTTACAAGCGCTTGCTAGCGCTTTTTTCTGCCAAACGCACCCAATTATGTAAAATATAAAATGAAAGAATGATATAATGATATGTCGTAAAGGAGTTTCACTTCGTCCGTGTGTTCACAGTTACACGATTTTTTTTATATTTTTATATTTGTCGTATCGTAATGGTGTATTCATCAATAGTGCAATCCGAACACACAACATATAGCATAATATATCTACACCTACAGCCAAATTCACAGATAAACATAAAACTCGCACATACCATAGATTGCAACAAAGTACGCTCTTAAAGTCCCTGCATCCATTCACTGTTTTTATAAAAACAAAGCAACCAACGAATCTACAGTCCACCTGATCTTAAGTGGCTGATGCAGTCCATGGACAGAAGTCCACATCAAGCAAAGAAGGCTACAGATGCGTCACCGCCACTGAGGATTGAGATCGAATGCCTCGCTGCCTATAATAATACTTCTATGGCTCTCTATACTCCTCAGAACAGAACACAGCAGTGCAATGAATACAAACTAATTTATGGATGATAATAAAATAAGCTTTTATTTAAAAAAAAATAGTCCCGGTGGGTTTCTTGATGGTTCTTCCCAGGACAGAAGTTTTTTTTGCGACACAGTGACTTTCAATGGGTATTATTTATTTATTTATGCTTTCATGCACAAAAAAGTACATATGGCGGACTTAATGCCATAGGGCATTCTCTCCCAGTCAACCATTAGGCTAAACAGAGATAGACATTATGGAGGCGGTGCAACAATAATCAAAATAGATATTTAATTAAATAAAATTCACAAAGTGTTGCTTGAATTTTTACAAATAATTTATAAAATAATATCAAAAATGCCAGATCTCAATACCAATATTGAAACAGAAAGCAACATAATATAAGTAATCGTTTACTGGAGCAATATTCAATCATGACATGTCCTTTCATCTTCAAAGAACCATATTACGTATAACATTTTTCCCTTTGTATCCCTTTTCTCGTAAGTGTTGTAAACACTTACGAGAAAAGGGATACAGGTGAAGGAAATTTTAATAGAATTCGTAATTCTTTACCAAACTACTGGCTTTGCTTTTAGTAAAGGTAAAGCAGTTACTAAAATGTAACTTTTAAGGAACAAAGTAAACCTTAAAAAACAACAACTACACTTCAAATTGGAACAAAGCATTATAACACCAAAAAAAAAAAAGATGCAGCTGGGCACAATAGAACGATTTCTGATATTATATTGAATCCGCCTTTCTTCAATTGCCACAAATATACTCAGACATTTCTCTATGTTGGCTCTTTAATTGCCGCAACTAGAAAATTGTTCTAATTTTAAAGATAGCCATATCTTTACATAAATCCTTATATTTTCAGATGAAAATACCCGCAGTAAGTTTTTATTTTACGGTGGCAAGGACTATCTGCAACCCGGTGGACTGCTAGACTATATCCCCAAAGACCTAATCCCGGACTTCCTTGGTGGGCCTTGCAAGGTAATATACCACTACTCTTCGTATTTTACGAAATTTTCAATGGAATATTTTAAACCTAAATTTCTATTGCGATACTTACGATTCCTACTTGCATTGTTTTATGAAATATATATTTAATAATATAGTTAAAATTTGTGTAGGACCTACCAAAATTTTATTGTTTTTATATTAACAATATCTTACGTTCATCAAAACAATAACTTTTATATAATTATCAAAAATATAGAGAACAATTCGAATCGTTATAATTAAAATTGATACTAGTCAAATATTACATTTGAAAAGTTGTCAAGAAAACATATTTAGATATTTGCATTATAAACCCTCTTAGTATCAAGTAGAAGACAAGCTTGCACTATGCAATCCAAACTATAATACTTGATGACTAAGATTATTACTGGAATGTTCTATTTGATTTTAATATTCAAGCCCACCTCGGAAATACAACATAATTAAAAAAAGCGAATGCTCTGAATAACAATATGTTAAAACAAATTAACCGAGTGCAATATTTCTCTTAGTCAGCAAGTCATTTTTGGGGCGACATATACGCTTTTACATCACAATCAGAAAATATACAAAATCTAACTTTCGCCAAGTTTAAAAAAAATTTAAGGAATTTATGAATGATAATAACCTTTGTGGATGAGGTGATCGCTACCAAGCTATTTCTAATTTGTTTTGTGTTCTTATTGTGTAACTTTAAAGATTGTCAATTATCTTTTTTTTGTCAGATATTATTCGAACCAGTGCAGTGGTAAATCTAAGAAAAGAAAAAAGAAAGAAATATAAGAATGACTTAAAATAAGTATTATTTATAATCTATCTATAATGAATAAAAAAGGTTTCTATTTCTGTCTCGACTGCCGCAGACGGATATTGTAGACGTGTCGTGGAACGTGCCGCACCGATATTACGACTATGTACGCAGCGTGAGATTCAAGAACATTACAGTTCTATTCAGTACTTGTCCATTACGTGTATACAGTGCAAATGTTTCGGTTGTCCTCATAGAAATGTTCGATTCATTCGGATTTCTTTTTATAGTACGACATATTTTGTAGAGGTGGTTAATATAGCGCATAGCGCCATATTATAGCGCGCTATTTTTAATAGCTCACAGCGCGTGCTATGTAAGTAGCCGCTATGACGCTATAAATATCGCGCTATCGCGTGCGACGTCATCAAGCGCGGCAGCTAGCTCTAGCAGATAGTCTCGTTTGCGTACGCGTTGTTGTGAGCTGTAAGTAAACTGTAAACTATACCGGAGAAAATAGTAGTGTAGGGCAACATTTTCTTTTAGAAATAATTTTGAGAATAAATTGATTTTACTATTATTTAATATTTAATAAATCTATCGCTAAAAATCATTCGATATAAGTTTTTTTAGTTTTTTAGTTAAGTTTAAATTTAGCAATTATATCTAAACTCAGTTATAAAAACACCACCATAGACTGTATTCTTTTAAAAACTGCCATAGTTAAAATTTGACTTTAAATGACTCGAACATTTCATTACCTACCAAATATTAGGAACTTTCTAGAATCACAATAAATGGAGTCGTCAAGCTTAATATGTTCACTAAACACATAATATGTGCTATGAATAACGTACAACACGTATCAAAAGTTCCAATATAATCGTCGTTCACAATTACACGCTAGTTGTCTTATATGTTCGACACACATACGCACTACGCCCGATGTATTTAGGTATATTAATTTAAATATTTATTATAAAATGCCTCTTTAATAGCCGCTTTTTGCCTAGGAGTTCATCTCGGTATGTTCTTTTATAGTATTAGGCTGACAAACGAGCACACAGTCCACCTGATGGTAAGTGCTGAAGACCGTAGACATCTACATTTATCATTTATCCCCAACAACAGATGCGTTGTCACCACTGAAGCCTGAGATGGAATGCCTTGTTTCCTCTAAAAGGAATCTCTTTACACTCGCCATACGAAACACAGCAGCATTAAGCTGCTATTTTACGCTGGTGTTCTGTGAGAGCGTTGTCCTCCCGCGGCCAAGTTGACCCATTCGTGCTACAACCATAATATAGCTACAGCGTGGTTCTACCACGTTTATATGTCATTTTAATAGTCGCTTTTAGCCTGGGAGTAATAGGTTTTTTGTATAGTCCGTACGGATAAAGAATGGGATTAGAAATGGCGGCTCATCGAGCCCATACCGTCAACATGCATAGTACCAATAGCGAAAATACGCTATTAACGTTACATCGTATAAAGTTATATTATTCGGTTAATTGGAAATTTTCAATTAATGGGAAAATATTTGAAAAGAATTGTATACCCATGAAGGTATATTAATTTTCAAATAACATTTATAACAAGCGACCCGTTCTAGCTTCTCTTGTGTGGGATATGTTAATGTGGTGTTATTAAGACGTTAGATAATCATTAAAGACCATTTATCTTATCAATATTTCTATTATCATAAATCCTCTAATTTTTTTGAATAAAATTTTAGTCTATTTCACTCCTTGTGTTATTCTCTATTTCTTCGTGAAATTTTGTTAAAGAGGCAGACAAATGAAAATGGTTACTAATGTCTCAATGGCATCTAAATATTTTATACAAAAATATTAAAAAACAAAATCAACTATAATTATGAAGAAAACTCTCAGAATGCATCGTAGCTCACAAATTAGCAGAAACGGCATTTTGTTATCATTGATTCCAATGACAAGTTGGACTGAAGTTATAGAACTTATCTAAAACGTATATCGCAACATATTTTTTATAACTATGTGCGAGCGTAAGGTGAATAGAGTCGACGCCATTTTCAATCCCATTCTTTTCATCTGCACAGGTAGTAACCACGTGTACGCAGCATATTGGTAAAATGTGTGGAAAGGTAATTTATAAGTATTTATATAAAATAATCGATATTCAATAATATATAGGCTGTAGTACTTGTATTAACTTACTTATTATCATCATCATTACCCTTCGCAAATCCACTTCTGAACATAGGGCTCCCCCATAGGGTCGCGTTAACTCAAGTTTCTGAACCATCGATTTTCTGCATATCTTACTAGGATGTATTCCATCTAGTGGAAGGATCTACACTTCGCTTACTGGTACGAGGTTGCCAGTCGGTCGTCTCTCAGCCTCCGTCTATGGACGGCCAATTGCTACTTGAGTTTATCCATACGGCTATGCCGGTAACTCTGGTTCTACTGCGGATATTCTCATTTATAAGTATATCTTAACTGACATATTGTCCTTGGTAATATGAAATTGGTTATATTGTATTTTTATTAAATCTCAACACTTTAAAAGCACTCACAATTATGTATTTGCACATGAAAACTATATGGTTTGTATTGTATCTGCAGAGGCTACATTTAATATATATACCAAAGGTGATATCATTAACATGTGTTGTCCATTTCTGCAGAGCTTCGTGCATGAAGGTGGACTGGTGCCGAAGAGTCTATACGTAAGTGGAGCCTTCACGGAGCGCGACGGTGACCCGCTCAGCGAGGACAGCATTTATCGTTCTGTCAGTTTGGCCAAAGGACAGGTAAGTTGGCAGTGACAATCTAAGCGTCTCTGATTTTGTATTTTACTGTTGTATATTTCTTAATATAACTTATACGTGGTAGAGCCACGCTGCCATATTTTAGTTGTAGCACGAATGGGTGGGAAGGACCATGCTCGCACAGAATACCAGCGTGAAATAACAACTTAATGCTAGTGTTTCGTAAGTGTAGTGTATGGTGAGTGTAGAGAACTGGAGACCCTTTTTAGTGGAAACGAGGCATTCTATCAAAGTCCGCAGGACTGACAACGCATTTGTATTTTCATTCATAATCGAGGATAAATGTGGATGTGTACGGGTCACAATATTCACTTACCATCAGGTGGACTGTGTGCTCGTTTATCACCCTTATTAAGCCGTAGCAGGTGGAGTGATGACTTGGTAAGTAGAAATTATGTTTTTCATCCAATCATCCATTACAGCGTATAAAAGTCTACTGTTGAACATAGTACAGTTTTAAGATCTTACAATTGGGAAACGAATATACTTGTGCAGAGCAACGGTGGTGGGGGTATTACGTGGCAGGGGGCGGGCCAACCTTGTGCTAGCGGACTTCACTGAGTATGATAGACAATACATGCGGGTAGTGCGAGCGTGTTTTATAGTACTTATCTAACTAATTTTGATTTCCGTTTACGAAAAATATAGTATAATATCTAAACGGTGAAGTACTGTCATATGAGTTACTAAGTAAATTGCCATTTCTTTATTCGAAAAATTGTTTATTCGAATGCGAGTACATTACTAAAACGCGTTAGCATTAGCGAAAAAATGATCTTGTTCAACAAATGTTTTTAACTTATAAGTAAGCACATAATGTTAACAAATGATAATTAGTATTATAATATCCAAAATAATTTTATTTCCATTTTTGCAACAACCCCTAGAATACACGCTGCCTGGTAAATAACTACGCGGGCGGCGGCATCGCCCGACATCAAAGGCATTTCACAACTGTAAAGTCAGAACTGTGCACATAGGTTGTCTAATAAAGACTATTTTGCCATACTTGCCACATTTGGCTAGCTTGTAGTTAGCCGTAGTTTTTTTTATAATTTGGGTTGTTATCAGAAAGATGCTGCTGCCCATCTCCTGTTTCAGTTTCCCTCTCTCGCCCCTGACTGATAATGGGTACCCCCCTATATTTTTTAAAAAAGTAAGAGCCGTGGTAGCTCAGATGGTAAGCGCTCGCTGTAAATTTCACAATACGCTGCTCGTATAATAATTTCAATTTAAGCGCTGATTTACCACGTGCTCGGCAGTGAAGGAAAACATCGTGAGGAAACCTTCATGTCCGAGAAATAAGAAAAAAAAATATTTCAAAGACACGTGAACTCAATGACAATTCCTTGCCCTAAAACCCTCTCAAAAATGAGAGGAGGCCTGTGCCCAGTAGTGGGACGTATATAGGCTGTAACTTTACATGGGGACCCCATGATATGGAGTAGTGGATATTTTTACACTACCAATATCCCGCACTATGTTTTGGTTATTAATAAATATGTGGTGGTGTGGGGATCAGGTGCACGAGGTGGTGGTGAATAACCGCGACCCGCAGAGCGTGCTGACGTGGGACTTCGACGTGCTGCGCCACGACATCGCCTTCACCGTGCTGCACACGCACCTCGACCTGCCGCCGCCAGACGAATCTGCCACAAGTAAGGAGTATAGGCACCCAGGGTAGCAGTCCCACATTCTTAACTATCAGAGGTGATGATGCATAAGCTACAGGGTTAGGCAAGTTATTGAAGTTAAAACTTCCTTAGGGCACGTTCTTTCTGAACAGTGAACTATAGTAAACCGCCACGCTCGCCCAGGTTACGCTGTGAATCGTGTACACTCGGCTGCAGCCGTTATCAACCACGTATACAGTCTGACAAGGAGTATATCGTTCCAATAATTACTTTTTTATTATTACGCAAGCTATAGATGAGTATAGAAATAAAAATAAATATTTCATATAACAATATTGATATCAACTTGTTTCTGATTCACCGAACTAAAAAATCCATTATCCATTATATAGCATGAATGTAATTATTGAAGTGAAACTTCTTTATAGACGTACTGGAATTTGGTAGGGTATTAAAGAAAATAAAGATCACGTTTTCTTGTAACGTTTCTCGTCGGGTCTGCATTATTATTTGAATATATAATATTATTTAACCTTTTTATGTAAACTATAATATGAAAGAAAAATGATATGTCTGTCGTAAATAAGTTTCACTTCGTACGTGTGTACACAATTACACGTTAATTTTTATTTATATAAAACAAAACAAAAAGAAAAGAAAAGTCACTACTTACTTTCACTTCTATGGTGTGGTCATAAGCACACACCCATTTTCATTATTTATTTATATTATTTTCAATCTTTATTCTATTAAGGCGAGGTTTTCCGACGTTAAATAGCTTTTAGCGCTTCCACCTCCGCTACATGCATATTTGTTCAGTACGAAGTGAGCGTGCGATATTCGATGGATAAAAAGTTTTTTTATTTGAAACGTTTTTGCTTATGATGAGAAAATAATGGATGTAAATAAAAATCTAGTCGAGATGGAAAGCAGGATCTTCCTAATAACAACAACTGCACTAAGCAGACATTATCGCCAGAGAAGGTTTAAATGTTACCAACAATAATAATTACTACTTAATTTTGTGTAATTCAAATGTTCAATTTTCAATAGTCTCTGTCACAGAATACTGTAATACACAATAGAATGGCTTTCAACTTTATTTTATACGAGGTTTGGCGTCGCCAAACCCGATTCGCTTTGTTGACAGACTAAGTAAATTTACACATTTTAGACTTTTGATTAATGTTTAAGATCATCATTAAATTTTAATACATATCTATTTGTAAATAGCGCTTGGCATTTTCTAAATAATTTGCATGCGAAATTTGGAAACGATTGTAACGTCAAAACACATCTCGTGTTGACATTTATACGTGTGAATTGACATGTTAGTGACATTTCAGTTTAATTTAAAACATTTTAGCTACACGGGCTCCGCCCACTCCCCCGTTCCATTATGTATGTATTATAGTATTCTATGGTCTGTGTAGTGTATGTCAAGGCAAATAAGCGTTTATTGTATTGAATAAAACTATTATTTACGGATTTTATCGCGTTTAATTAATTCCGACGGCGGGCCCATCCGATTTACGCAAAATGAGCTTATAGTATCATGAAGTCTTGCAGTGGTGTGCTTGGGTTTGGGTATAATTTTGTAAATTATAGGATCCCAAGCAGCTGGCAGCACCCATCCATCTTCTCTATTGAAATTTGGATGTTTTTTTTTAATTTCAATAGCCTCGCGTATCATCCTTGGTAGAAATCGGTGTTCTTTTGCGAGGATTTGTGGTTTATCAAATCTAATGTAATGGTGGGGACGATCTTGAACTTCGCAGACTGTAGACTTCCAATTTAAGAAATCATTACGTTTATTGTATGTTTTGTTTATGAGATATCTGTGTTTTAAGGCGTAGTTGAAAGTGAAATACTGATATAGTTCTTGCAATTCACGAAGTCATGCTCCACCTGTGGTAAACACGTATCTGTGTGCGTGAGATCAAAAGTGGGTATGGTTAACGACGGCACGCACACGTAGTGAATTCAAAAGCAATCTTGGACCCCCCCCACACTACCAAAAAACAAAACCCACAAAAAAAAAGAAAACCCCCCCCCCGAAAAAAAAAAAAGGGGGGATATTTACCATAGTTGCCCCGCTTGGCAAGCAGGTTGTCAACCGCAGTTTTTGTTAATTTTCAGCTGTTATTAGGCAAACGCTTCTGCCCACCTCCTGATTTGTTTTCCTCTGTCGCCTTTTATGACACCCACGGGATGATATGGGGTAGTGAACATTCTTACATCGCCACTACACGGTAAACTTCGTGTAGCACTTAGTGTACATATAAGAAATGATTAAGAGCATGAGTTAAAGGTGCTTGTGTGCACTGTGCAGGCGGCGGGGCGCAGTGCGTGCTGGCGGCGGGCTGGCGCGAGGGCCAGCACTTCCGGCGCGCCGAGCCGACGCTGCTCTGCCACGACGGCGAGAGCATACAGGTACGTCAACTCCCACAGCTTCGCTCACGTAGACAGAGAAATCTATAGACTAATGATTAGCGTGGCCTCGAATGAGAAACGACGATAACGTAGTTTTAGGTTATACATTAATCTTTATGACTTTTAAACATATTTAGATAAAATTTTTAATTGTTCTAAGAACTGAACTGAACGAGATTCACCAATCTTAAGCTCACAAAACACTTTTTTCTCACTTAAACCAACTTGTAAACTCGTTAGTTCCGTCAGAGTTGTTTAGCAAAGTGTAGTTTGCTAAACAAAAAAACCTGCACGGAGAAAGGGACAAACAATTACATCGCTCTGTCTCATTTTAATGCAAGACGTATGCATAAATCTATCTTTTTCGTGTGCGAATGCGCAAGAAGGCAATCAATTTGCGAACGTAGATAGAGAAACATTTATCTCTGTCTACGTTCGCTCATGACCAAGCCATTAATGTGATTCAATTCGCTACACGATTAAACACTACAGTGGTATCACCGAAACCGGTCCTTTTCGCAGTTTCATACTGCAGCACAAGGTTTATCTTAAAGGATGTTCAAATATGTCTTATTTTGAAGATTTAAACATTTGTTACTTATGTCAAAAATTATACTTTTACAGGACCTGGGGTTTCGTTTTTATTTTATGTTTTATGATTTGTAGGTTATGTAGTATAATCACTCATTATTGTGATAAGTTGTTTGAACAAATTAAAAGGGCCACGAAATAATGCAGTTTTGTCATCATCATCATCATCATCATCACACGTCCACTGCTGAACATAGGCCTCCCCCAATTAACGCCACAAAGCACGGTCCTGAGCCACCTGCATCCATCGACTTCCTGCATGTCTTACCAGGTCGTCACTCCATCTAGTTGGAGGGTCGCCCTACACTACGCCTACCGGTACGAGGCTGCCACTCGAGAACCTTTCTTCCCCATCGGTTATCGGTTCTTCGAGCTATATGGCCGGCCCATTGCCACTTCAGCTTACCAATCCGTTGGGCTATGTCGGTCACTCTGGTTTTGCTGCGGATATCCTCATTTCTGAGTCTATCACGCAGAGAAACTCCGAGCATAGCCCTCTCCATAGCTCGCTGAGCGACCTTGAGCGTCCTCATACGGCCAGCAGTGAAGGACCACGTCTCAGATCCGTAAGTCATCACTGGCAACACGCACTGGTTATACACTTTAGTTTTCAGAGTTTGAGGTATACCTGACGAGAAGATGTGTCGTAATTTCCCGAACGCTGCCCAGCCGAGTTGAATCCGTCGATTGACCTCTCGGTCGAAGTTGGACTTACCTAGTCGGACTATTTGTCCCAGGTAAACGTACTCGTCAACAACTTCGAGCATAGTGCTCCCAACAACTACCGGCATAGGTGTGACATGGACATTAAACATGATCTTTGTTTTGTCCATATTTATCTTAAGACCTATCCGTTAGGAGACACCACTGAGGTCATTGAGCATAGTGCTAAGGTCCTCCAGCGATTCTGCCATAAGGACTCGCCATTGATGTTAATACCGTATCCTTTCTGGTCCAGTAGCTTGAAATCGTCTTCCAACGCAGCGGTCAAGAGTTTCGGGGTATAACATCACCCTGTCTTACACCTCTCTGCAGTTGGATAGGTTTCGAACTCTGGTTCTGTACTCGGATAGCCATCGTAGCCCTACTGTACAAACACTTCAGCACTTCGATATACCGACAGTCAACTTGGCACCGCTGAAGGGACTGTAGCACCGCCCAAATTTCGACGGAATCAAAGGCTTTCTCATAGTCCACATATGCCAGGCAAAGTGGCAGATTGTACTCTTCGGTCTTCTGTACAATCTGCCGCAGGGTATGTATGTGGTCTTTGGTACTGAAGCCTTTTCGGAAACCGGCTTGTTCGGGAGGCTGGAAGTCGTCGAGTCTGCGTGCGAGACGATTCGTAATGACTCTCGAAAATAGCATGTTGACGCGGCTCAGAAGCGAAATGGGTCTGTAGTTCTTCAAGAGAGCGTTGTCGCCTTTCTTAAAGAACAAGACCACCGCGCTTCTGCTACACGCCTCCGGAGTAGTGCCACCAAGGAGGACGGAATTGAAGAGCTTCTGAAGGACTTCAAGTACCGGTGTTCCACCCGCTTTCAGAAGCTCCGCTGTAATTCCATCCTCGCCCGGGGCCTTGCCGTTTTTAAGGTGGTGGAGAGCCATTCTAATCTCGCTCAGACTGACGTCCGGGATATCATCGGAATAGTGTCGGATAAGACTTGCTCTTGGATCGTTACTCACACTTGCGTGTGGCTTCAACGATGATGTGTACAGCTGCCCATAGAACCTCTCAATCTCACTAAAAATCTCAGGTGTCCCGGAAACGATGTTGCCACACTCAGTCTTCAGCTTTGACAGTTGGCTCTTTCTGGCAGACAGATCTCTGGCAAAGACTTTGGAGCCCTGGTTCCGCTCGATCGCTTCTTTAATACGAGCAGTATTAAAGTTGCGTAAGTCTCGCTGCATGCATTTGGAGATCTGTCTGTTCAGTTGCCTGTATGCTGTCAAATCTGTTGACGATTGCAGCCTCATCTCCCGTCTAACAGCCATGAGATTAAGAGTGTGATCGGAGAGTTCTTGTGTTCTTGTGCGGCGGGTCTTCCAGAACTTAGCTCCGACCGCATGGACAGTTTCCATGAGCTTGTCATTCATATCGTCCACTGCATTGCAATCTTCTAGGCACTGAAAGCGGTTACGTAACTCGAGCTGAAAGGTAATCGGGATTCTGGATTAGAGCACGAGGGTGGACGGAGCGTTGACTTCATTAGACGAGACCTCTCCAACTTAACGTTTAGGTTCAATGTGCCTCTAACAATTCGGTGCTCGCTGCCAGTTTTCACCTTTGCGATCACTGAGACATCACTGAACAGTTGGCGTCTGGTCGTCATAATGAAGCCAATCTCATTTTTTGTCGAACCGTTGGGGCTCGACCAGGTCCACTTCCTGTGGGGCCGCTTCTGGAAGAAAGAGTTCATCATAAAGAGTCCCTCTTTCTCCATAAAGTCGGCCAGCTGCTGGCCCCTTCGGTTCCGTTGCCCTACTCCAAATTTCTCTACCTTCAGCTCACCGCTTTCTCTTGTGCCTAGTTTTGAGTTGAAGTCTCCCATAAACACCGTGTAGTGGGTTTTGGAGGAATGCATGGCTCTGGAAATATCCTCATACATTTCCTCCACCTCCTCATCGGGATGTGCTGAGGTTGGTGCCTGCGTAAACCTGTATGACCTTCAGCGAATACCGTTTGGTGATTCTGAGTATCAGCTACGCGACCCTCATCGACACACTCCCAATCTTTACAACGTTGTTGACGAGAGACTTGTGGACGATAAATCCGACACCTCCTTGGGACAGATGGTCGCCCTCCTGGTGATAGAACAAGTTGCCGGACTCGAGGATTGCTGTGTCTTCCCCCTCTCTTCGGACCTCGGATAATCCAATAATATGCCAGCGCAACTTGTCTACCTCTTCTTCCAGCTCCAGTATCTTCTCGTCAGTCCTCAGGGTGCATCCGTTATATGTTGCCAGCTCGAGTCGTCGTAGGTGGCAACCGAACCTCCACCGGAGATTCTTAGCACCCCCCTGCCCCGCCGTTACCATGGTCGCCACCGTAGCGTTGGGACTGGGGGCGTCTGTTTGCGTCGTTATTCATGGGGAGATATTTGCCATAGTTGCCACGCTTGGCAAGCGGGTTGGCAACCGCAGTTTTTTATTATATCATTTCTGTTATCAGGAAGATGCTGCTTCCCATCTCCTGCCTGTCTCCCTCTGTCGCCTTTTACGACACCCACGGGATGATATGGGGTAGTGGATATTCTTAACCGCCACTACACGGCACTTGACTTCGACTACATTAATGTATTTTGTGGTTATTATTAAATAAAGTAAAATAAAACTCACATGTTTTTAATTGTATAATTATTTTCTGCAATTATTAATAAAATGTTATTTAGAAAAGCAGCTGATGACTGTACATTGTCTGTTCTATTCCTCTCATAAACCAAGTATCCCACTAATGCCTTTATGTAGGGTGTGAGAGCAACAACCTTCTGTTATGTAATTTTAGTTTATTGACTTTCTAAGTAGATTTATTTCATTAAATATTAACTTGTTTGTTAATGAATGCTATTTTATTATAAAAAAAAAAACTATTATTTATTGCCATAGACAAATCACAGAAAAATATTTATCTTTTTATTACCTACATATTTTTGTATAATTGTTACAAACGATGTCAAGCACCCAATTGTATACATCTCTTTTATAATGTTTGTAAATATTTCGTTTTATTTATCTTTTTGCATACAATTACTATTTTATATGTTGTGCTGCTGCATGCTTAAACTGTAATAAACGCATTTCTTTCTTTCTCAAACAAATGAATAAATAAAGTAAAATTTTTGAGGTAAAAAAATAATATCACCACATTTTAAAATACGGAATAAAAAGTACAATTTTTTAATTACTAACAGACATACACTAAAGCGCGTTATAGCATGGTAATAAAATAGCTCTGGATTTGGCGTACAAGATATTATTAAATGGATCTAAGTAGTTTCTTCTGTATTTTTGTGCTTGAAACACGTAAAGTCGTTGGTCCTGCACCCAATCTCAGGTCAGGAGTATACTTGTGCTTGCACAGATACTCGTGCACTACAACTATGATATGCGCAGTTGTTTAATCTCCGTTGAGACTCGCCGACGTCACAGAAATCCGGTCACAGAAAACTTCATCATCATTATTTCAAGCCCTTCAAGTCCACAGCTGAACATAGGCCTCCCCCGTAGAATGCCACAAACCACGATCTTGAGTCACCTTTATGAATCGACTTCCTGCATCTCTTAACGAGGTCGTCACTCCATCTAGTAGGGAGCCAAACATTTAATTGTATCATATTTGATATATATATATATAATACCTTATTTTACTTTAATATTAATATTTATATATCGTCTAGTATCCAGTATCAAAATAATAAAAAACTACGGTTGGCAACCCGTCTGCCAAAACGTTGTAGCTAATGGGGAACAACAAGGGGGGGCTTTGTTTAGCATGGACTTTTACTTGTAATGGATGAATATTAATATTTATTGTGTTACTTGCAGGGCTCTCACGTAATGACGGAGTGTGGCAACTACGTGCTGCAGTGGCGCTGCGAAATCTTGGACACTTCTCATCGAGCTGCCCAGCTCATGTACTTCTACGAGACCCTCGACAGTCATCAGTACAAGTGAGCACTACACAGTACAATACAGCTGCGAAGTTCTGGACAACATGAGATATTTACTTTCCACTCTTTCAAGTGAAATCAATAAAACATATCATAAATCCTAACACCTATCACCCACTAGGGTAGGCAGATTACAGATCTTCACGACACGGTCCGATTTGGCACACTCCTGACTCTTACACAGTTCAGTACAACTAGCAACTACCGGAAAACATGAGATATTCGCTCTCCACTCGTTTAAGTTATATATATACAAGTGGTAAAATTAAACATTTTGTACAACCAACTTCAATATAAATGACATGAGAACATCATTAATGTAGTCGAAGTCAATTAAATACGCATTATTAAGGATAACTCAAAAACTACTGGTCAGATCTTGATCAAATTTATATGGGAACACACAGGAAGCATCAATTTTTAAATAAAAAAGAATCATCAAAATCGGTTTACCTATAAAAACTTCTGAGGTAACACATAAATAGAGTCGAATTGAGAACTTCCTCCTTTTTTGAAGTCGGTTGAAAATATCCAAAAATTCTAATGCCTCTCTCCCACAAGGGTAGGCAGAGACTACGGACTTCCATGATCCGATTTGGCACACTCCAGACTCTCTCACTTCTGTTACGTTCATAAATACTACGCATATATACTCGTCGTTTTAGGGTAGGTTAATATATTACCAATTTGGTTGATAAACTTCTGTCTTAGTCGTCTCTTCCCACTCTTTCCTCATTTATTCTTTCTATGTGCCCGAACTACCGGAGTATTCCTTTATTTCTTAACTTTGAAATAGATTCTTCATAATGTAAATTGATTTTAAACTCTTACATAATCGAAAAGCGTCATCTAGAGTTCGAATTATAAACTACCATCTCTCAACATTACTTCAATAAGGCTCAAAGGGATTCCATCTTTTCGATGTGCGTTCCTTGGGCCCACGGAAACATTTTGCGACGTCGTTTTAGGTTAAAGAAGTGAAGTCAACAGTGTTCACGGGACAACATGGCGAGTCAGTAGTCTAAGGTATCCCACCATCACCGAATACAACTCATCCTCAGGTGGGTCCGGATGCAAACGCTGCTCTAAGCTTTATAAATAAAGAAAATTAACACTAGAAAATCAAAATCAATGCACCGTCCATTTGCCTGTACCCACTTGTCTATCTTAAAATCCTTTATGTGTGTTTGATAAGCTACTAACCTCGACAACATTCACGTCTGTAAACTCGTTGTGTAACTAACACTTCATTTTAAACTTTTTCTCGCTAAGTAAACGTTGCAACGTAATTTTAAAAAAATCCGGATACAATGCGACTTAGAGACCTTCGTGAAACGAGCTTGTACTTTTAATAAGATGATTCGGAACTTACTATCAAGTGAGCCGCATGCTTCTTTCGTCTTCTTTTATTTAAAAAAAAAACATGTGTACAGTTTCACATGCGGTACAAGTGAAACCTTCAGAAAAGGAGACCGAGATAGTAGGAAACACTGTATACTGTATTCTATTTCATTCTCTCACAGTCCAAATCCTATATATGTATATGTTTGTCTCTTTTTAGTGTCGCTTTCTCGTTTCATCGAGTTTCAAATCGCCACGATTCTAAAGAGGTTTTCAAATCAAAAACTTTTGATTATTTCATATGTAGTTTAATTGACCCGAAAATGTTTATAAAAGAAGAAATTAAATTCTTTACCTATGTACCTTAAATAAATACTTACCACAAAATAACATTAATTTAATTCGAGTGGAGCGAGCGAAGCGAACTGAACTTCCATGTCGCGAGAAAACGATTCTTTGAAATCTATGTCCTCCGTAACCCAATTTACATCATTTTTTCGGTAATATTTGTAGCTCAACGCAGACAAGGTTTGTAAACAATAAAATTCTGAATTTGATTTTTTTTTTCTTTTACGATCTAATAAATTCGCTAATTTACATCTGCGCAATGTCACACCATTTGATTGAATCTTTTGTTGAAATAAAGATAGTTATGACTTAGACTTTTACTCCGCTCTGTTTATGATGCGAGCAAAACGTTTGCATTTGCATCGACTCTAGTTTAATATTAAAGGAAAATAAAATGTATTAAAGTGATTAGTACGACTATTACATTATCATCATTCATTTATTTTAAATCATTGTTCAAAAATGTCTCTTGATAGATTAAAAAAACATTCGAGTGACGCTAAAATACATCAATATCAAAAACAAAACTAAGTTATACAATGCTAAAATAATACTTACGATCTTCTTTTGCACCTAAAAAACTTTCACCGAAGCCAAGCCATTAATCATCACACAACCAAAATTCAAACCACTTTATCTAAAAATTCACTCTTTGTAAGTAGGATTATTTTTAAAAGCATCTGTCAAAGACTTCTATGTTTACCAGACCGGCAATTATGAACAAAAATATGACACAGTTGGGGATTGCGCGGGCGGATAGCTGGCATGGTAAATATGCTATGTAGTTGTATTTGCATTTACAACAGTTATTGATTTTCGGCAAATACTTAAATAAAATAATCTTCAAATTTCTTTGTAATATTAAAAAAATAAGTGTAAGATTGTCGAGAACAACGTTAGATAGATAACACTTTATTGCACGCCAAAAAAAAACATAAATATTATCAAAAAAAGGAGAGAAAATATGTGTGGTTTGGCGACAACTATAACATTATTTCTATTATAAACTACAAAATAGAAATAAAGATTTACAAAACAAAGAACTACTCTCCACTTCTCGCCCGCAGTCGACTAATCGGATTATAATTCAGATCGTTTTTTATATAATATATTCGGAGTTTAGATGGAAACTTGACCGCCAGTGGCAGGTTGGCAGACAGCTTACGACTGCAAATTCTCTTCTGAACTTTTTGCTGTATACTGCGTGTTACAAAACTACCCGTAAAGCTGAAAGGAGGTTAAATGGAGTCTTATAACGAGTCCATTCAAATATTTTAGAACCGTAGTAACACTGTATAACTAATAATATTTTCACTGATGTGCAAACCCTATTTCAGTAAAATTAAAGAGTAAACTACGCAGAATATACCTACATTTCTACCTAATTCGCGGAACTACAAAAATTTTAAAAGACCTAACGTAACGAAACATCCTAAACGAACACTTACTTTTTTATTATAAACGTCAAATTTACAGAAACGGCTCAAAGTGTGCTCCGCCTTGCTCAATACACAATCTGGCTCGTCGGGATACGGCTTGTGTGGCATTTCGCACCATCGTCGGTGTTATTGATGCGAAAACCGATTTAACATGCTGTTCCATCTCGGCAACAGTTGGGCAATCGGAAAAATATACTCTGTCCATCACATAACCCCACAAAAAGAAGTCCAAGAGTGTGAGGTCCGGAGAACGAGCAGGCCATAGCATCGGTCCTCCACGGCGGATCCATCCTCGCGGAAAGCGAACGTTAAGATGATCTCGTACATTACGAGCAAAATGTGCCGGAGCTCCATCATGCTAAAACACCATGTTTCTTTGGTTCTCAAAGTAATCCCAGTCAGCCACAGGAAATTCGTTAATCGCCTCTTCGAATTCCGTTTGTAAAAACGTTAGATAGTTGCTACCGTTCAGACGTGATGGCATAATGACGGGACCGATGACATGCCCGTAATAAAGGCCACCCCACATATTCAGCCGCCACTGGTGTTGGAATCTGCCCTGCCGTGAAGCAGTGGGTTCATGCGAGGCCAAACGTAATCGTTATTCATATTTGAAAGTCCTGACCTCGTGAATGTTGCCTCGTCTGTCCAAAGAACATAGTTTATGTAATTAGGGTTTTCCTCTAACTGCCTGAGGTACAACTCGCAGAAGTTTCTACTGGGTGCAAAATTGGAGCGTGTCAGCTCCTGTGTACGGCGATAGTGATAAGGATGACAATTGTCGTCACGAAGAATTCGCCAAACTGCCACATGATTTATATCGAATCTTGTTCCGGCTCGCCTCGTACTTGTGGTCGGCTCTTCTCCAAAATGCTCTAACACTAATTCAGCCTGCCTGGCGTCGACTGTGCTTGGACGTCCACTTCCAGTAGACCGATGAAAAGAGTTGGTGGAATGTAGTCGTCTTGACATGTTCAGAAAACACTGGTACGAAGGCAGCCGTCGCTGTTCAATGGGTAAATCAAAGCTTAGCTGCCGTCAAAATTCCATGATCAACATATTATTATGAAATGTATTAACATGTATATTAAAAAATGTGTCACAAGCACCGAATCCTAAATCGCGCTAGTTTCGAAGCTGCCACGCTATATATAGAACAACTTCGAATTAACATACGGAGCGTTGGCCGCTCCCCGGGTCGATTGCCTTGCCTGGCGGTAGATCTCTCTTTTTCCTTCTACGGCCAAAGTGGTGAGCACCTGACTTGATTTTAACACGCAACAATGCAAAGTTCGGAAACTTCAACTTCAAGCTTCGCCATCAACATCAAGTATCACATCCATTCACCCCCGAACAGATATCGTCTGCAGTTTGGACATCCTGCAAGCCATCTAGCTTTACAAGGTTCATCGCAGCACTGGAATAATACTTCCTATTCCTTGAAGCTACTCTCTATGCACCAGTGTTCTACGGCACGGCTTTGAGTCATATTGCTCACCTCTGCTTCACGGCACTCTCGTAGGTTACTTGCCTTCTTTTCGATTCACCATAGACTACAAGTCGATACCGTGGCATTTGCATATTCGTCGATAACTAGACTGCATCATCGATCTCTGGTCTGAACTAGGGGAGTGATGTGGCCGCGCTGTCATCGCGTCACAAACAAACACCGAAGCCTAAATCGCGCTATTAAAGTTTCGAAGCTACTACGCTATATATAGAACAGCGTTGGCCGCTTCCCGGGTCGATCACCTTGCCTGGCGAGAGATCTCCCCTTTTTCTTCTACGAACAAAGATCTGTTTTTCTTAGTCTTGCGAATGCTACATAATAAATAAAAAAATTATAATGTATGTCTATATTAACAGCAGTTGAAGTCTCTATTGTTCATAAGCTAAGCATAGTACTCACTTGCGAATGCGGGGGCTAACGATATTACGCCTACCAGATGTCGCTGAACTGAGTTGTAAGTTCACCACGATGTTTATCAAGTACATGGTCACTCAATCTCATCGTCGTTGAAAAGTTGCGTTGCAAATTAAAGTTTTACCACAAAATCATGCCTCAGTGATGTGTTCTTTAATTTTTACCTAATTCATGTGAAATATATCTAATGTAGTAATAAACGTTAACATCTACTCTTTCACAACAAATTAACTAACCCCCCCCCCCCCCCGCCATAAAATCTGTCAAATATTTCACCTCACTCCTAAGTGGCGGCCGCCCGGTAGCAGAAAAAGTCGCTGATGATCTCCTTAACGTCGTATAAATTATTGACATTTGAAAAATTAAAAATGCTAACAATGTCGCTTGGTGATAATCGATTGTCAATAACCGTCTATTTGTAGCGCTTCTCTGCATGTTGCTAAATTCGTGAAAAGAAGGCGGATGAAGATAAACGCAAATAACAAATTTTTACACGGTTTAATAGCATAGGTATATATTAAATAGGTTGTAGAAATTCTTTTCTCCATTTTCTGTTGAAGTACCGTTTCGTGTAGGCACCCTCTTAACTCTATCTGCTGCCAAATAGTTCCTGTACCGCTCGGTTATACTCTGCAGGGTATAGAAAGCAAGTATAAATACAGAGGCGTTATATCTTACCATGTAGTGGCGTTGTGAGAATATCCACTACCCCATATCATACCGTGAGTATCTTAAGAGCCGATAATAGGAAATAAATCATGAGATTGACAGCAGCGTCTTTGTTATAACGACTAAAAATAAAAAATGCGGTTGTCATGCCGCTTGCCAAGCGTGGTTACTATGGTGAATATCCCCTCCCTATGAAGCAATTTATGTGAGAAGCCTGTGTTCTGAAATCTGGAAATACCTATTGCATTCTTAGCCGACATGTTTTCACGTTTAAATTAATAATAATAGGTCTTCATGATAACAGTTGAAAATAATAAAAACACTGCGGTCGCCAACCATGTCGTCTGCGAGCGAGCCAGTATATAGTTATATATCTTCTCTCCTATGAGGCCTTTGTCCAACATAGGGCTTTTGATAGGCTCTACTGGATGAAGAATTGTTGACGACTTGTTTTCGTCCAGTTTGGGTAAATGAGAGGGTTCATTTGTATGTTTGCAGGGGTTCGATGTCGAGCCTGCAGTCCGGGGCGAGTGGTTTCTCGTGCCTCAGCAGCAAGTCTGCGGGCAGCTCGTGCCCGTCGCGGTGACGCCGGCCCGCGCGCTCGCCCGACTGCTCCTCGCCCGCCTAGCCCCCGCACTCAAACACAATCCGATCGTCGCGCGTTGTAATATCTAAACAAGCTATATCTATTTTTTTAACATATCCATCATGAAGTTAGACAAAATCGGCCCGAATACATGTGTATTCACACGAAAGAGAATTAATAAAAACGTAGGAAAACTTGGTAAAATAGCGGCTCGAGTCGAGATGACGAAGACTAACTTATGGACCAATCACGTGAAAGAATATCCACCGAAAGGACATGTATATCAACTATTGCGCATGTCAAGGTCATGCTCACGACTCATGCGTTTACTACGTAGAGCCGAGGTTCGGTCCTTTGGGGGCGAACCCCTAACTTACTAAATATCAGATTTCTATTTACAAAAAACGCGTCGTTTTCCTAAACAATCCGTTTTATTACATACGAGATGTATGCAAAACAATTATAACAAATTACCTATTCACAAAAATAAAATGAAAAAAAAAAACTAAACGATTCATAAATAGTTGAACTGGTATTTTGGTTTAAAAAAGATTTTTCCAACGAAGCGTTTTTAAGTATAGAAACCCGGCATTAGTATGTGTCATAAAAAGGTTATATTCTGTATGTTCTTCCGCGCCCCCTACACGGCCGCACGGATATGTTTAATCTAGTACGTAGTACATATTACTTTAATGGCGCTGCCCGCGAAAATCACGCTTCGAATACAATAGAATAATCTATGCAATGTAAAGTTTTTTCCACAAAAGTTGTTATGAAAGTGGGTATAGTTTATACTTGCAATTGTTGTCACTTGGTGAAACTCCAGCTTAGCTTTTATGATTTGGATAAACACTTGTATTAGTTTCACACTATTTATTTTAAGTTATTGTTATACTAATTATAAAAACATAAAGTAGAAATTCTACCTTCAAGATTTTTGACATAATTCCGTCAGTCATTTATTGCAGGCATGTACCTTCGTTACGTGTTTCTTACAATAAAGCTGAGCTGATTTTTACCGCGACAATTTTAAATGTACGCGCTCCAACTATCATTTTTTGTTAGTTGAAGTTTTCATACTGTTTGCTTCAGAAGCATAATTAGAATAAATGCCGTCTTATCATAGAATGTAGTTAATACAATGACTTTGATGTGTTATTATTTTCATTGTAATGTTCATTCGAAACTTATACCAAAAATAACAAAAAACAAAATGCCAACTGTGTTATTTGTATAGCATGTCAACAATGGTGGCGAATGAGATATTGGGTTTGAGATTGTGTAAGTGGACTAGCTATCTATCACTTATTTTCACAATTTTACTTCTAATTTCATTATTTTACCCATTTGGCTAAAAGTGGCCCGAGTAACTAGTCGCTCTTTGGTCTCTGCCTACCCTCTCGGGCATTACAGGCGTGAGAAACCATGTATGTATAATTAATCTCTTTTTTACTTCCTGCGTTTCGGATGCTTTACATCGTTTACTTACTGCTTAACAACACTTTACAGCATTCAAACCCTCGGGTGGGATAATTTTAAATTACCAAACATACAAAAACTCTCACGCCTGTCACCCAAAGGGGTAGGCAAAGTCTACAGACTTTGATGTGGCACGATCTAAACACACCCCTTTCACTTCCTAGACATTCTATATCAACGCACGCACGTTCTTTCAAATTGAACAATATGCTGTGTTGAAACTAAATGCAAAAAATAATAATATAGTTTTATTTAAATAAGTAATACTTACGACTGTTGTTACATGATAGTACCTATAACATTCTTTTAGAAATGTAAACACTTGTACTTTCCATACTGTTTTATTTTTACTGTTTAGGCATATTCTAATCAATTCGTTTTAGAACATTTTGAAATTTGATGAAAATTTTTTTATTTAATATTATATATTTTTATAGTCTATATTATTCTTTCGTTAATTGACGATTATAGTATGTATGACAGTTGTTAATTTATATTTTTAATATTTCCTTAAAAGTAGGGACAGATCCCACGTACTCAACGTTTGCGATGCAACGCTCCTACGTTCGTGTACACACTTGACTTGCGTAACGTACGTTGCATATGTGGAGTATGCAACGTACGTTACGCGTCAGACACTTGTCACTTCTTAGGGGACGCCCGAGTAGAAATTTGTAGCATAATTCTGATTCTGAGAGTGAGTTTGAGAATGATTTACTTAGTCTGATATTCATTAATGAATATATTCACACCACAAAGAAAACTAGGTAGTAATTCTGTTCAAATGTTTCATTTGTAATGTAAGCAAATACAATGTAGTATTTCCACAATATAAGAAATCATATTTCTTATATTGTGGAAATACTACATTGTATTGATTTATTTTATTTCACGCTTCGACATCTCGTTTTCAAGTTAATAAACAAATGATAGCAGTAGGTGGATAGGTTCTCACTAGGTTTACCATGTAGTTTTGCTATCTATTCCTATACTGTATTACATAATGTAGTATCGCGATATTCAACATAATATTTTATATTAGAAATACATTTGTATCACCTTACTAAATTTCCTAATATGACAACAAAATAAGTGCACGGTGCAAAGGTCTGTTTGTTTATGACGTGCTATGCGTAAGTTCTAGAAACAGACGATATTTATACGCAATCCCACGCGTACGAACATCCCTTCCGCTTTCCCATGCTGATTTCGAGAGGTTTACATTGCGTCGGATGCGTGTGGTTGCGTTAGATACGATGTGTTTCTAACGCATAGTTTACATACGTAATCAAGAGTCCAAATGTCATAATGCGTTGCCTACGTTACGTACGTGGGACCAGTCCGTCTTGTTATATCAAAGACTATAAAACCAAAACTAGGAAAAGAATAGAGACTAAAACACAAGGTCGCCTATATTATAACTTATATTTTAAGAAAATAATAGCAGACAAGCTTCGTTAATAATTGAGAACACTTCAAAAAATCAACTTAAAAAAACTAACTACGTTACACAATACTAAATTCGATTAAAATGTTTACTACAATGTCAACTATCAAAATGATATCGATAAAGCAACCCTTTTGACCCTATAATATTTGATTGACTGCTGAAGAGCTATCGTATCACAGAGCCATCTCTGCAAACAAGGCTGTAGTTAAAGTGATCATATTAACCGGATGACTATATAATAATATTACCCTTACGTACTATAGTTGACGTGCTTTTTTATTTTCTTCGAATATAAAAGTGAAATAATTTAACTATTTTATTCATACAATTGTAATTTTTTATTTGTTTATGTGTGTTTTGTCCTATGAATAAATTTTACCGAGGATTGGAAAATCGGCTCTTAAACAATAATTATGCAAATATATCATACGTTTAATGTAACCTGTCAGTGTAAGAGTAAAAAAACACATAATAAATAGACTCGTCGGTACGAATTTTTAGCTTTGATTACTGAACACAAACAATCGACAAATCAAGCAGCGGAATCGGAGTATCGCAAGCTCGCAAACAACGGTATGCCCGTCAGTACTAAATATTGCGTTATTGTCTGCGTTTGCTGCTTGTGGATGAAGTCTGCGCGTATGCGTGCTTTGCGAGATTTGTATAAAGGTTCACTCTGATATTACGCTCTTAATCCATGCCACTTGTTGTATATACATAATATTATGAATCACAAATACAAGAATTGAACGTGTAATTGTGGAAGAAATGAAGTGTTTGCATTTCTCAATTTAATAAATTAAGAATATGATGACATTTAAATACAAATACGCCTTAGTAATGGATTTCATAGACTTTATTTATTATTTTTCATTTATTTAAATTTTAGAAAAAAAATTGCTTTATTGCTATTAACATAACCAAAAATTTGATCACATTTTCATTAAACGTCATGAAAAAAATCCTACGGCATTGTTAGTAAATTTTAATCAAATATTTATGTCTTAGAGATAGATTATAAATTATGGAACTGATGATGATACCTAAAATCAAATATAGTAATGGTCCTAAAAGGAAAAATTAATTTACTATGCCTGTAGAAATCGCGATGGATAATAGCAAATAGCTGTTTTGTAAAATGCAATTTACTTGCTGATGATACCTAAAATAAATCATATAATAAAAATATATTATGAAAATAGTTCATACAATTTACATTATAAAAATCAAGTCTATTTAAAAGTAACAAATATCCTATATTAATAGCAAAAAAACTAGTCTTTAGAGTTATCAATTTATGCAAAATTATTGAATTTTGGAATTCATCGCCTAAAAAAACTTACGGCAAGTTAACTTGGAATTGAAATTAAAGTCGATGGAACTTTACGTATAAGTGTTAAAAAGTCCAATACTATGAATTTTAAAGCAGTTATCGTAGTTATAGTCTGAGAGACGAAGCTTCATAGGGAAGTTAATGCAACTTACTGTAGTACTTTTAAAGTATAGGTTTAAGTAGCAAATTATGTATAAGGTAAAGACTTCTACGCGCACTACTAGAACGGTAATCTGGGTCACAGCTGTGTATCGGGCTTACACACGATTGTATTTTAACTTAGACGGTATTTTTAGGTAAAAACGAAATGAAATTACATATTTATCTGAAAAATACTTCAAATCACGTTGACAACGTGCGCGCATAAATAATGGCAGCGTTTTTTTTAGTCACATTAAACATAATAAGTGTGAGATTGCCGAAAACGTTCGCGGTTTACTAAATAAAGAAATTGACCATTACTTAACGCAATGTATTAAGGTCCTAGAGCCGTCTATAGTATACATAGAAGTCTTTGAGATTAGACGATATAAAATAATTAAAAAAAAACTTTGAAACATCGATGAAACGCAATTTATTGATGCTTTAGATGATATTTTTACTTTTAGTTTTCGTAAACAATTTTATACTTAGTTTATAAGTGGTGACAGCATTATAATTATTTTAATTTTAACTAAACGAATTGTAGGTATGTTATGATTAAAATCAGTTTATTATTTTTTAGAGAAAATACTTGAG